GCTCTCAGACCAGGCATTTTGTTTTCACTGTCCCTTGCTGTGTCTAATGTGCCGCTGGTGAGAGGACCACGCTAACAGCTGGGGATGTGCTTTCTAGATCAAAGCTGCATGTGGACCAGGGAATAAGGTAATTTTTGGATCTTTTTCAAATGTGGAAGTCTACAGCTCTAGGCATCCTTAGAGCACTTCCCTGCATAGACCCTATAAGAAGGTGTCGTGGGCACATGAGGAGCACTGGTCTTTGCACCCCGACTGTTTTCGTGGTCTCTTAGGAGAAAGGGGGCATAGAGGGAGTGGAGGTAACTTATCTTAAAACCCCACAACTAGGAGACTACCCGCACTAGCTCCATCGCAACACTCCCAGAACCAGCCTATTTCAAGACCAAGCTTAACAGCCTTGGTCCTCTGGGGCTGGTAGGCTGGCCTCTAGCCTGAAAGAATGAATGAAAGTTCCAGGATCTCAGTTGTCCCGGTGGGGCAGGGAGAGAAAAGGGTGTGGAGGGGGAGCTGCTGCTATGGCAACCATTGGAGGTTTACCTCGCCCACGTGCTCACTAACGTCATTGCCTTCCCACTCAAAATTAGCTCAGAGCGGCCCTGCCCCCCCTCCGTGGTCCATCAGCTGACCAAAGGACCAGGCCAGCTCTGGACCTGGCTGCCTAACCTGGACCCAGGCAGGACCAAGGTCCATGCTTCAGTCTCTGGTCTGCTTTTCTCTTCCTGGTCTTAGCGGCCTCCTTTTACAGACGGGATCAGTCCACATCCTGGAGGAGTTAGGATGACCACAGGACATCAAGTACCTCCCTCACCTTCCCACCCACGGCTATCCTAGAATTTCCATAGCAACTAGGGCAGTGAGACTACTTTGAGGACAGCAATGCAAATTTTAGGTGAATTGACTCCCTGGTAGGCATGCATCCCAACACGCCCACAGCCCCTCAGCACGGAACTCTTCCTGAAGAGGACCGGCAGCCCCCAACAGCCAGGACAAGGAAGGGAGTGGAGGAACATCGCCAAACGATACCTTGATGGTGGTGAATTCCTTTCTCCACGGCAGCAGGTACAGGTGCACAGCGGCCAGCTCCAGGAGTTCGAAGGCGCGGGCCAGATCGCGTAGGGCAGGCGCCAGGTCAGCACGACCCCAGAGGCCGTCAGTAAACAGCGCCAGCGCGTCGTCCTGTAGCGCCCCGTGCAGGTCAAAGTCCTCCACCAGAATTTGCCAAAGCACCGCGCGCAGCGAGGGGTCGCCGCAGACGCCGGCGCGGCCCCGCCGCAGCTCGCGCTCCAGGCACTGGCGGTAGTCCTCTGACAGCGAGCTGCTGCCCATCCTGACCGAGCGCGGGACGAGGTGTTAAACTAGAGACCATGTCGCCTCAGCTGTGCGACTCCCGAGCCCGCACCCAGCAACCCCAGGGCCCCCTCCAACCTGGAAACAAACCTTGCCGGCTTAGCGAATCTCGGAATCTTTGGTCCCCTTCAGCCAGTAGATGTGGACGCCGACAGCTGGGTGACCAGGGTATCTATAGCTTCCCCTCTCCAGGAGACCTTCAGCCCGACTTGCTGAGCGCCCTCGTATCAACAGCACCCTCCTCCAGTGGACACCCGCTCCCGCCAGCTGAACCTCTTGCAACCAGAGCCCCTTTCCCACTAACCGACCTTACTGTAGACCCCTCGGGCGGCGGTGCTACCTGCTAGTCCCCAGCGGTCCCAGAGAGCTCCCGCTTGGGCCTGGGTCTAGCCTCTCGCTTCCGCAGAGTCAAGCCCGCCCCTTGGCCTTGGTCGTGACGTCGGGGGGCGAGGCTGGAATCGGGTGCCACCCTTTCGGCTAAGTGGGAGGGTGTCGGTGTGGGCGTGGCCTGGCCGAAGCAGGGGGTGGCCCGCCTTGGCGGCTCACCTTTTAAGGTTCTCTGAAATTCACCAGCCTCCAAGTTCCTAGTCTTTCAACTAGTCTGAGGTCGTTAATCGCCTGGTTCCGGGCCAAGGAGTGGAAGTACACAGCGGGTGTATAACACAGGTCACTGAGATATACCTGGTGGAGCCTCATCCGGTTAAGGATCAGGCTGAACTCCCGGCTCCTCAAGCCAACCCGAAGTATAGTCAAATGCCGGCTAGGCGGGGCCTAACTTGGCTGGCAGATAGATCATGAATCAAAGGAGCTCAAATATATGTATTTAAGTGCAATTTAAGGCTGGTGGGGGTGCAGGATTGGTCTGTGGGTAAGAACAACTTACATGGCAGCTCACAACCGTCTGTGACTCCAGTTCCCAACACCCACTTGTGGCCTCTGAACCTGGCACACATTTGATACACATACATGCAGGCAAAACGTTCATACGCCATAAATAACAAAGCAGGTGGCCTCGGAGTCTGCCTCTGCAGGCTTTGTTTCTCAGTCCCTGGGAAAAGTCGGTTAGTGGGTGTTTGAAGTAGGATGAAGGTGTTCATACTCCAGGACAAGGTGATTCCTTAAGTGTGTGACCTGCAGGCCTTCAAAACTGACCTGGGTTGTGAATTCGCCAAGACTTACAGTCGGGTGACTTCAGGGGAACTGTCCCCTGACTTGTGGTTTTATGTGCTTCACTCTGAACCTAAGGCACCTTCCCCTTAACCTAAGCTTCATGCAAGCAGTATCTTCTGTTAGGTCCCTTCCTGGACAGACTATACCTCTCATCTCTCCAGGTCACCAAACCTAGGCCAAGTTTGATGAAATAGAACCCAGCATGGGAAAGACATTTGCCTTCTTGTAGAATTCCTCAGATTTGACCGACTTAAAATAGTTAAACTAAGCCGGGCAGTGGTGGCGCATGCCTTTAATCCCAGCACTCGAGAGGCAGAGGCAGGCGGATCTCTGTGAGTTCGAGGCTGGGCTGGACCGATAGCCTCCAAAACAATACAGAGAAACCCTGTCTCGAAAAACCAAAAAAAAAAAAAAAAAAGTTAAACTAAGTAGGCAGCTCTCCTCAGGCATCCTGGGGGCTATCACTGAGCTTTTTGCTGTGGGCCCACACTAATCCAAAGGGAACATTGGCTGGCTTTTGAGGTTGCCTCAACTCACAGAGTCATTGTTTAACTTCCTCAGCCAAATTGTAAGGTTTCCAAGACACTCCTAGATCCCAGAACTGTGTAATGAGGGAGTTAGCAGCAAAGTGAAGAGGTCTTGGGGACTGGGGCCCAGAGGTAGAGCATTTCTTAGTTTGAGCAAGGCCCTAGGTCCAAGCTCCATGAATATGGAGTCAAAGATGGGATACAGCTCCAAGACAAGGAATTATGAAAGCCTCTAGGAGCTGGTGGAGGCAGGAAGGAGCCTCCACTAGTGTTTTTTTTTTACTATTTTATTTATTATGTATACAATCTCTGCATGCCAGTAGAGGGCACCAGATCTCATTCAAGGTGGGCCCTCCACTAGTGTTTTTATAGGAAGTGCAGCCCTGATGATTTTAGATTTGAGGCCTTCAGAGTTGTAGTGGAAAATTTCCATTGTTTTAAGACCCATCTCCCAATTTGTGGTGGTTTCTTAGAGCAGTTATAGAATACTCATACAAGTCTTATGTAGTTCTGACAGCTTTAGATGAGGTCCCTGTTAACCATCAGCATTGCCTTAAGACGATCTTCCAACAGACTCAATTCTTGTCGTCAATTACAACCTGGAAATTGCTATAGCTGGTGATAGGATGCAGGTAGAGACAAGCTCTCCTCATGGACTTCATCTAAACTGGTAGGTACATGAACAATATAAATGGCTTATGTATTTGAGCAAATAAGTTAGGGTAATTTGTTTGCATCCATCCCAGGGTGAGCAATGTGTCGTTGCATGTCCTCTATGCTCTGCACATCCTCCTTGGACCTTGGTTTTCCCAAGGCAGATAGATTTGCAAGATCAAGGCCACTCATTTTTACCTTGTCTCGGACTGTAAACTAGCATTGGCCAGTTTCCTAAGATTCCCCTCAATCTAATGTGTGTGTCAGGGTCCTCCGGCCATCAGCCAGATACAGCTGCCCCACATACTCATAAGAAAAGATGTGACTCAACCCTCATAGAGAGTAAGTGACTCTGGACCACCCTGCTACCTCTGCTAAATTCCAGAAACAGGCCTGCAGTTCAATTAGCAGTTAAAGATTAGCTCAATGGAAAGCCCCCAATTCCGATAGGAGTTAGGCAAGGACATAGGAAAGATTGAGACAGATAAAGTAAGAACTACAGTCAGGTTACCTAGCAACACAGGAGGTTCTACCCCCGACCTTTTGCCCTATGAATTAAGTTTCCAGGCAGAACAGAGGGTTACCTCTCCCCCTGACCTTTGCTCCACCAGGCTCATTGCAGCTGCAGCACACCCCCATTCCTTCCACTCCTCCCTTCTCCTATATAAAGCCCTTTGGGGTGAAATAAAGTTGTTGCTTTGATCAGACTCCTGCCTTGGCATCCATTCTTTCACATCTCCTGCCCTCATCTTTCCCCTAGATACCCTCCAGCCCCACGCTGAATGTCCCGTGGTTCAGGACATGGGTATGTAGTTATTACCTTTGATTTTCATTTCTTGATGGAGATTGTCTTCAAAAAGATTTAACTTCTTTTATACTGGTTAGTATTTTCTTCCTCTTTAAAGAGTATTGCTGTGGCCGGGTGTTGGTGGCGCACGCCTTTAATCCCAGCACTCGGGAGGCAGAGGCAGGCAGATCTCTGTGAGTTTGAGGCCAGCCTGGTCTACAAAGTGAGTTCCAGGACAGCCTCCAAAGCTACAGAGAAACCCTGTCTCGAAAAACCAAAAAAAAAAAAAAAAAAAAAAAAAAAAGAGTATTGCTGTGTAGCCTAGAACGTGATATACTCTGGCATCTGCCTCTGGAGTGTGGGTATAGACATGAGCCACCTACTGGGTCTGGTTATTTGTAAGTGCCTGAGCTCACTTACATGTGGCCAAGCCAAGAGGAACTAAATCAGGCAGGTTGGAAAGGCCACAGTAAGACTGAGGCTGTGACAATTTTAGTGAGAACAATCAGACGTTATATCTTTATCAGAAACAGAGTATAATAGCAATTGTAAGGATCAATATAGTTGTAGTTACCAGGATACAATGAAGTTTGCAAGCCATACAGAGTACACAAGAGTAATGACTAAGTCCAATTGTCCAGTCAAGCTTTCACCCTTGCTTGATTACTAAGGGAACACACAGTGAAACCAACTCAAAATGACCTGAACATTTCACTGTATGGGGTTCATCAGTCTCTTAGAAACTGGAAGGCACATTGTGCCCTAGGAGCCATGGACTCTAACCTGAAAAACATAAGACACATGCCTCTCAAGCTAGGCCAGGCCAACTCCATGGTTCCCTGCAATTCCCTCTTTTTTTTGTTTTTCAAGTTTAGGGTTTGTAAATCAATTTTTTTTCTTGGTTTTTTGAGACAGGGTTTCTCTGTATTGTTTTGGAGGCTGTCCTGGAACCCACTCTGTAGACCAGGCTGGCGTCAAACTCACAGAGATCCGCCTGCCTCAGCCTCCCGAGTGTTGGGATTAAAGACATGTGCCACCACCGTCCCGGCTGCAAATCAATTTTTAAAGCAGACATGGTGTAGCAAATAAGTTTTAAGGCAGTGTAACCAGAGAAAAGCTTTCCAGTGACATTCCTATGGAACATAGTTTAGAAGTTCAATTAGAGACAGAAAAATAATGATCAAAATTATCTTCCAGGTTCTGTGCAGCAATAGAAGAGGGTAACTTACCTAACTTTGAATGTTGAATGGTTAATATTTCATCATGCAAGGCATGAACATCAATACTTAAATTATCATATGACTGTCTCTGCTTGGGGAACAATATGATTAGCAGTGGGAGCACCTAAATCTCAAAGTCATTGACATAAACAGAAATGTTTTTCTCTCCCCAGTTAACAAAGTGAAGCATATACCTGGGCGTTGGTGGCCCATGCCTTTAACCCCAGCACTCGGGAGGCAGAGGCAGGAGGATCTCTGTGAGTTCGAGTCGAGACCAGCCTGGACTACCAAGCGAGTTCCAGGACAGCCTCCAAAGCCACAGAGAAACCCTGTCTGGAAAAAAACAAAACAAAACAAAAAAAAGTGAAGCACAGGGATCAGGTACATACACATCCAATATGTCTCAGCAGTAACAGATGCATTCAACAGAGACAACATAGCAAAAACAGCAATTCTGCAGTCACACCCTTCCCCTGAGATCACACCAAGTTTTTTCCCTCAGTTGATTCTTCATCTGGGTTGTTGTTGGTAGGCAGACTCTGTTCTTCATTGTTTGACAATTATGTCGCCCTGTTCTCTTCCTTTCTTCAGTTGTAGCCTCTGCAGACGCTTTGGAACCTCTTTGTCCAGCCTCCACAGGTTGAGTCATTTAGGTATGCACAGCAGGCAGTCCTCTCTCTCTCAACCATCAGGCAGTTGGCTGCCTGCAAAATATAAAAAGCAAAAATCTAAGCCAGGCGTTGGTGGAGCACGCCTTTAATCCCAGCACTCGGGAGGCAGAGGCAGGCGGATCTCCCTGAGTTCGAAGCCAGCCTGGTCTACAGAGCAAGTTCTAGGACAGCCTCCAAAACAATAAAGAGAAACCCTGTCTCAAAAAAAAAAAGCAAAATCTGTGTAACCCTGACTGTCCTGGAACTCGGTCTGTAGACCAGGCTGGGCTCAAACTCATAGAGATTTACCTGTCTGCCTCCTGAGTGCTGGGATTAAAGGTATGTACCACCATCACATGATGAGAAAATCTTGATATGGCTTCTCAGGCCCCTTCCAATTTTAGAAAGTTGCTGTTTTTTTTTCCAGAATCTGGTAACTTATGCCACATCGGTAAAGTCAAACCATTGATCTGTCCATCAGTCTCAGGAAGATATGTGATCTGTTGTTGAGCATCACATTACATGCCTTCTCCTGTTAACATTTCAATAGTTATGGGCACATTATTTTGTTTTCTAATAGCTTGGTCGTGACATCTTTCTGAATAATCAGTCCTTCCCAGTAAATATTCACTCCCAGGAAGACAAGTCTTTGCTAAGATCTGGGGAAGAAAAACGTCCCCAGAAATAGAATCAAGAAAAGACAATGGAAAAGGAACAGTTGGTCCAGATTGAGCACAAGCCTGCTTAAGATCCTAAAGAGTCTTAAATGAAATGGGTATATAATTTCTCTACTAGGTTATTAGGATTGGGTGTTTCACTCACCTGTAAAAGAGTAAATCCTTCCACGTCTTTTCCCTTCTATTGGACTAATACAGTCTATTGGCTGGAAGACCTGTACCGTGACTTAAAAGGAGTTAATTCTCTTATGGAGGGTAAGGAACCTTCCCAACAACCTCAGAAAGAAATGAAGCAAGGCAGCAGGGGTAAAGTTTCCATGCTATCGGAACTGCACTTGATGAATAGGGTTTAGGAGCAGAGGAAATTGGAACTGTAGGTGGGGGAGCAAAATCAGTGCAAGGAGGATGAAAACCCTTAAGCTCTTCTTGTTTTTTTCTTTTTTCTTTCTTTCTTTTTTTTTTTTTGTTTGTTTTTTCGAGACAGGGTTTCTCTGTGGCTTTGGAGGCTGTCCTGGAACTCGCTTGGTAGTCCAGGCTGGTCTCGAACTCACAGAGATCCGCCTGCCTCTGCCTCCCGAGTGCTGGGATTAAAGGCGTGCGCCACCAACGCCCGGCCTCTTCTTGTTTTTTTCAAGACAGGGTTTCTTTGTGTATCCCTGGCTGTCCGGAAACACCCTGTAGACCAGGCTGGCCTCATACTTACAGACTCTGCATGTTGAGTGCTGGGATTAAAGGCATGCACCACCACTGCCTGGCTAGATAAAATATTTTTAGGTTCTAATTTTTCTTCTATTGTCATTGTTAGTCCTTCTTTTTTTCCTGATCACTTTTGTTTTTAATTTTAACTGTCATTTTTATCTGTTACTGATTTTATTTCTTTCCAAAGCTGAAAAGCATTACTAGGAATTTTTTTCCAGTCCCCTTGCTTCCTAATGGGGACCTAGTTCAGGGACCCAGAGTTCCCCCTTCAGGGAAAGAAGCTGAAGTTCATTAATGAGCTCCAGGAATTTCAACTGGTACTGTCCCACTTGAACTCTTTCCATCGGCAACAAAGTTTTCAGACCTTCTGCAGACAAATGTCACTTCTTTAACCCTGACTATCCCGTCTTCTGACCTCCAGTGAATGCTCCTGGCTTTTTACACTTGTGGGCACACTATTCTCATGAGTCCCTTGCCTTAATGTTTTTCTTTTTCTTTTTTCTTTTTTTTTTTTCTGAGACAGGGTTTCTACGTGTAGCTTTAGAGCCTGTCCTGTCAGCCTGGACTTGAACTCACAGAGATCTTACCTGCTTCTGCTTCCCAAGTGCTGCTATTAAAGGTGTGTGCCACCACCACCTGGCTTAACTTTTTTTCCTTTTTTATTTTTCTTAAATCCCCATATTTCAGGTCTCTGTTCCTGGTGCCACCTGTAGGTACCCACACTTACAGGTATTGTTATTTTTTTTTTGTCCCTCAATACATAGCCTAAAAGTAGTTGTTACTGTTTTTGTAATTTTTAGTTTGGACTATTTCTTACCACCCCTGCTCTATGGAGGAATAATGGCTTAGAAATGCTGAAGAAGCCGGCGATGGTGGCACATGCCTTTAGTCTCAGCACTTGGGAGGCACAGGCAGGCAGATCTCTGTGAGTTCCGAGACCAGCCTGGTCTACAAGAGCTAGTTCCAGGACAGCCTTCAAAGCCACAGAGAAATTCTATCTCAAAAAGCCAGCCGGGCGTTGGTGGTGCACACCTTTAATCGCAGCAAACAGGAGGCAGAGGTGGGCTGATCTCTGAGTTTGAGGCCAGCCTGGACTACAGAGTGAGTTCCAGGACAGCTAGAGCTACATAGAGAAATCCTGTCTCGAAAAAATAAAAAACCACTCCCCCCAACTGCTGAAGAACCCAAAGATATACCTTGTTTTCCCCTCAGCCACCACAATATGAGAAGCTGTCGAGAGCCGGGCCTTTCCTAAGCTGGCACTCCACAAGGACAAAGCCATGTTTAGCCACATCATGAAGCCCAATGGTAAGAAGCACGAGGCATTCAAGGTGTTCAAGTTAAAACACTTCCCGGGCATTGCTGATGCAAGAAAAGAAGTTGGACTTAAGGTCCAGCTGTGGAGCTTAACACTATGCCAAGGAAATCAAAACTGGTGGTGGGAAATGTGTGACAATTTTTGTTCCAGTTCAACTGGAATCTTTCCAGGAAATCCAGGCCAGCTGGTGTGTGAGCTAGAGGAAAAACATAGTGGGAAGCTTCACTGCTGAGAACTCAGCTTAAAGCAACCTGAGAAAGCTGTGCCTAGAATAAGCAAATGTCTCAGAAGGCACAAGGTGATCCTTGAAGACTTGGTCTTTACAAGTGACATTGTAGGCAGCAGAAACTGGATGACAACTGGCTTATTAAGGTTCATGTGGGAGGCTAGGGTTGCGTGAGAGTGCTTGCCTGGCATGTAGAAATCCCTGCCTTCCACCTAGAACATTACATAAAACCCATATGGTAGCAAAACCCTGTCATCTCATCAGTTAGGAGGTAGAAGCAGGAAAATCAGAAATTTAAGGTTATCCTTGCTATAAAGCAGGCTAGAGGCTATCCTAGGATACATGAGACTCTGTCTTTAAAAAAAAGTTTCATTTGTACAAAGACTCTTAGAACAGCTGGGCAGTGGTGGCGCACACCTTTAATCCCAGCACTCAGGAGGCAGGGGTGGGTTTGAGGCCAGCCTGGTCTACAAAGAGAGTTCCAAGACAGCCAGGACTATTACACAAAGAAACCTTGTCTCAAAAAACAAAAGCAAAACAACAACAAAAAGTATCAGAACAATAGAACATTGGCTGAGATGTTTTCTGATATATCTATAAGAAATTTACAGGAAAAGTTAATTTTAAAGTCTGAATTTCAGTTGTAAAAAATGACTCTTGCTGGGAGGTGGTGACATTCGCCTTTAATTCCAGCACTCAGAAGGCAGAGGCAGTCAGGTCTCCGTGAGTTCAAGGCAACCTAATCTACAGAGCGAGTTCTAGGACAGGTTCCAAAGGTACACAGAGAAACTTTGTAGAAAAACAAAGAAAAAAAAAAGACTCAACAAAAATGTCATCTGAACACAAATGTGGCTCATCTTAGTGCCATGGTAGGTTGAACAGCACTGTCTAGTCCTACCAGATTTGTGCTATGATATGGTCTGATCTGATTCCAGTCCAACAGGTACTCCTAGCACCAGGGTGTACTTAACACAACCCATTGCCCACGCTTCTGTGAAGTGGGACTTTAAGACTGACTTGTTCCTGTCAAAGCCAAGGCCTGCAGTAGGTGCACTGATGTGTCATAAGGCTCCATGGTTACCTGGCATTCATGTCCACAGTCTGAATATTTCACATGAGCATCTAGGAGACTGCAGTGCCACGAACCCAAGTCAGTCAAGATGCAAGTTTTTGTTTGTTTGTTTAACCTTTATTTTTTATGTGTATGGTGTTCTGTCTGCATGTAGGAAGTGCCGATGGGGACCAAAAGAGGGCATTGGATCCCCTAAAACTGGAGTTACAGATGGTTGTGAACTACTTTGTGGGTGCTGAGAATTGAAACATGGTGCTTTGCAAGATTAAGTGCCCTGAGCATCTCTCCAGCCTAGCTGGGACACAAGTTTGTGCCTCCTTAGCAGCTGGACATAGTAAAAATTGGCACCAGCCTATCTATTCCTGATGCTGGTGGGAAGAAAAAGCTAGGGGCTTCTGGTCCACTCCCACTCCACAGAGGTTTCTTTCATAGGTCAAGGGCCCCAGGAACTGGTTTCCCTTCCCAGGCCAACCTGGGCCCATACCATCTGCTTTTGTCCCAGGATTCTATTCACCATTTGCAGACTAGATTCTGGAATCAGCCTACCAGGCTCAAAGAGGCATGTTACCTCTTGCCTTGTGGGGTCAAAAAAGTGTTCAATAAGCATGGTTCAGAGGTTAAGCGCACTGGCTGCTCTTCAACCATCTGTAATAAGATCTGGTGCCCTCTTCTGGCCTGCAGGGATACATGCAGGCAGAACACTACATACATAATAAATAAAATTTAAAAAATACCATTAAAAAAGAAGTTAGATATAGCCTACCCCAAGAATCTCCAACAACCCCACTACCAGCACTTCTGGTGGTCTGAGACTGGAACCTCTTTTTAGTGTCCTACTACCTACTTCCTTACAGCAACCCCTGTTGCCATGGGTATTTCCTATCCTGGGTGGGGCAGCTTGCTTCCCTGGAAGATGCTGCCTGTGTTTGGGTGCCTTCGTCCTCTTAGGGGCCCAGTATACAAGGCATCTCTATGTGTCTCTACATGTGGAAATACAACCACAGCAGGACATTCCTATGTGTTTGAGTAGGATAAAGATCACTGAGACACTTTCAGGATCTGCTGTAGGCTCAGAACTACAACAGTGAGTTAATCCTAGCCTCTTAATGATACCCTGTAGACCTTGCTATCCTAGAGAGTGACATCCACACTTTCCTTGCTGGGAACAGTACTGGGAAGATACTGCTCCTGTGCAGAGAGTCTAGGGGTGGGCTATGGCTCCTCATTACTCCCTCATTTGTGATCTCTGAGAAACTGGCAGAGAGAGGGTGTCTGTGTTGCCCGAGTCCTGCCTACCCAGTGGGTGAATGAACAAGTCACATGGACTTAGAATGACTTCTTTATTTTAGGCTGAGTTGGCCACTTGGGGCATATAACAATCAGGGTGCTGACCCTTGGACTCTTGACACTGGAGAGGCTGTATGACTGTATGTGTTGGCCAGCGTCCTGAATGTTCACTGCCTCCAACCAAGGTAACCCTAGGGCAGGATGTCCTGGACCTCGGTAGGAGACAGGCTCATATCCCAGGCATGGGCAGTGATTCCTGCCTGGGCCAGCAAAGGTGAGCAGGGTAGTTGGTGCCTGATAAATAAACAGCACAGCCTCACACTACCTACACCCAGGTCTCTGGGGTAAAGGTAAAGTTCTTGTTACTGACTAACAAGAAACTGGCTCACACAAACTTTAGCTGTCTCAGGAAATTGGAGGGGTGTAAAACCAGATTGCCCTGCAAGGCTCCCAGTGCCCATTTCTGTGTTGATGCCCCAGTAGGGGCTGCTTAGTGTCCATGAGAACAGGCCAAGGCCATCCAGGTTTACTGGAGGCCCATCAGTGTTATAGGCTTCCCAAGGAACAGCAGCTACAGATTTCTCTTATGAGGTCTGAGAGGCAGGCCTAAGACAGAACAGGCCTGACTCAGCCAGCCATGTTCAGCTGAAGAAGAGGCACTACCCTAGGCCTCCAGACAGGTGTGTGGCTAGGAAGGTGGGCAAGAGCTATAGAATACCACCACAGCAGGCTGGCCCCAAACCACATATATAGTACAGTGTGGATGTCCTGTGGCTCCTTTGGTCTGTGAGGTCCAGCCACCACTACTTGTCCAGCCGTCCCCGGGACAGAAGTTCCACATAGCTCAGGGCGCTCTGCAGTGATGTCAGGCAATACCCTTCTTCTCCAAT